CCTGATTGTTCTGTCAATGGTAGCGGGTCTTTGGACCGCATGACTTGAAAATGTGATCATACTTCCCGCAAACAAGGGAAAACCGAGTCTTGAATGACCGGAAAGTCCACAAAAACGACTCGCTGAAGATCCAACGAAAAAGAAGGCTGTGTGTGTATGGATAAAGGTGGCGGAATTCACTCGCTGAAGCTCATAAGTCCAGTGACTCCATAATTACTAGCACCACACAGCCTCAATAATTCCTCGAACCTGGACACGCTGGCATGAAACGTCATATTGACCTGAACGTTCACTACGAGTGTTTACGTTCTCGGTGTATTTAATAACACCCATAATAAACGACCGCTGCTGATCCGTGATCGTTTTTCGCAAAATCTCGCTATTTAACAAGCCCTCCGACAGGGCCAATCAGGCCGGAAACCCATAACGTCTGCCGCCCACATACCGCTGTCCTGTTAGTTGCGTTTGGGTATGCTGGCAATGGCAGACAGGCGTTCACCGATCGTTGTGCGGCTGCAGTCGGGGCTACAGAATGAGCGCCAGGGCACGAAGAGGAGTATGTGTCGTAACGTAATCGGTTGAATTCTTTGGAAAAGAGACATTGATTATTATGTAAACTCTTAAGACTGGTCCCCCAGCTCACCGTTAAAAAAGTGAAAAGTAACCGCGCTTAATAAAGGATTGCATAGTCGGTTGAAGTCCGCTCCAATACGTGTCTTTTGTGTCTTGTTCTTCCACCAGGATTGGCTATGTTCAATTTTGTTTGCCTCTACGCATTTTTGCCTCCATGTCCACATACTGTGTTATGCGTGCTTCACCTAAGTAAATCGCCCTGTGACCATGCTTTATTCTGCAGACCTGTGTTCTTGTATATGCATGCACGCAGCTTTTCATGCTTAGCCATGATTGACTATCATAAATATAATGCGGAATTATAACATGGAATTTTTCTGGCGGATTTTCAATCGAGACAGTCTACCTGCGTCGGTAGGCAATATGTGAACTTTGACCAACCTGGGAATTGTCTGTAAGGTTAAAAAATTAAGTTGTTTTTACGCTTCCATATGTCTAACGATCGTCTATGGCGTCTTTTTGCGAAATTTTTGTATAATAAGCGTTCCTGCTTTCCCGAAAACTAAATTTGCTTCTAATTAACTTTCTGGAATTGTCTAATTTGCTGTAAATATTTAAATGTTTATAATTGTTTTTTTGGAACAACAGTAATGGTTCTTGTCGGACCGTCTCCCGCCTTGCTGGCCGTTATCGGTTCGAGGTTTCAATGCTTCGCTTGCTCGTCCTCTACGGTGCTTCCTTCGTCACAACATCGTTCCAATCTCCCCAAGGAATCCTCCCTGCATCGTACCGTCGCGCCATTTACGCCTTCTGTGGAAGCTGATCCCGAGCTGAACGTACCTGCTCTCTCCGAAAGTGTGCGAGCTCGCGGACTCTTTACTCAGTTCCCCGAAACTCTTCTCAGTACATTGGTAATCCTTGTCTGCACAAAAATTCGTAGACAGTTCAGCGGTTTGTATACTAATTACAATCCAAGCTGATTTTCTGTTGCAAACGCAATCAAGTAGACGCCGTCGCTGAGACAAGAAATTTCTTTGCGTTACGTTTTGGATTCAAGCGTGAACTCATAATTATAGACAGCATCAAGTATGGATAATTCCTACGGTATTTATGGAATGTAGTCCATAGGCTACTGCATGCCTATGCCACTTAACGGCTCTGCCTCTTAAGCAATGCATCGTAGCCAATGTTTATGCTACTTTATTCCATATTTGAATTGTTATAATTGACTGCATGCGCAATCTTGACGAATTTTTGTCCTCTACCTTGGTTGCTACACCTGCGTGTCCTATTCATCAAACATATTCCAGCCTGTGCAGTG